TTAGACCATTGTTGCATGCTTAGCTTGAAATGTTTACTTGGTTTGACACCATCCTTAACATGATTTTCAGAGCTTGGTATGTATGCCATATGTCCACGTTTAACAGGTATTGTATCCTCCGAGTGAGACGTATCGAGAATTGCATAATTCTCTTACATCCTTTCCGCATTATAGTGTAGTTTGGTGTATGCTAGCTTAAAACTGTCGCATGTGTGCTTCATTACAGCTTTCTTTGCATGATCATAAGTTATGTCCGGCTCTGTGCATTGTCTTGCATCTTGCCCCCGCCTTCGGGCGCATATCTTGTTTGTCTTGCATGTTTGTCTGAGTCTTCAGCATTGTCAAAAATGGGTCGTCTCTGGGTTTTGAAATTCACTCCCGTCATTGTCGTGACTTTCGAGTTCTGTCAAAGAGGGGCAACTGTAGACACCCCATTTTTGACCGTCCTCAAGACTTGGACGTCACCATTGGAACACTTAGTGATTACCCTTGTGTGTTCGTCTTGAGTTCCCGGAGGTCTCGGTTGCGAGCCTTGCCTCAGGATCTCTCGACTCGACCGTGTTGTGTCTAGTTTTGCACCAAACACTTGTGTTTTGCCTTGAAGGGGCAGGGAATGCCTTGTGAGGCATCCCCACACATCACCGGCCAGTGATTTTGTTCCATCGGTAATGTATATTGCCGGTCGGCCATTTATTTTGCCAAAATGGCAATTTTGAATAGCCGATCACTGTTCATCTACTTTTAGTAGATATTTTGTGCCAGCTGTGATAGCTGGCACCCACTCTGCTCCCCTCCATACACGTGTATAGAGGGATTTCCCTCTTGGATGGCTTGTTTTGGAAGCCTTACAAGAGATAGCTCTATAAGAGAGAGTCTCCTCTCTTGGATTTAGGGTTAGACAACATTTTTAGAGAGCTTTGACATTAGGGTTAGGAATTTGTGTCCATTCTATCTCTATATTTCCCTCTCTTGTTAGTTTAGTGTGTGTTTGGTCTTACTTTTGCACACAAACACCCACCATTACACCTTTTCTTGGTTATTGAGGGCCAAAGGAGTGTTCTTGGAGTTCTTGGAGCTGGTTTGGAGCTGAAGAAGCTGCTGGAGCTTCAGTTGTGAAGAAAGTCTTCAAGGGTAACAACTTTGCCCCTTTTTACCCCTTTCTTGCATAGCCTTTTAGCTTACCTTGCAACTGTTTTTGAGCATTGTGTATAACATAAAAAAGTTCTGTTTTTAGGCCCTCTAAATAGTTTGTTTAGAGTGTTTTGTGATTTGAGGTTGTTTAGCCCCTTTTGAGGCTTGTAAGGCTCCTTTTTGTGCCATTTTGTGTGAGCTCCGAGACCATTGAGTTTGGGCCTCCTCACCACTGAAATCTTGAGGGATTTCAGAGGTGGAGATGGTGCCTTGAGGTCCTAGGAAGGAGAGGGCCACCCCCTCTCCTTGTCCTTGAAAAGGACCATTTTTGGCCTCTTGAGGGAGCACCATGTTTAGGTTCATGTTGACCATGCCTTAGCAGATTTTTGTGCTTATTATGTCATAATATGCCTCTGTTTTTAGTTGGTTTTGGTACACCATGCTTGCTTAGCATACATGCCTTTTAATGCCATTTTATTGCCTTAACATGCATCTAGGTTTTAACCCTTGTTCAAGCATGCTTTAGGCCTAGCTTTGTGAAGCTTTCATGTTTATTTTGCCATGATTAAGGTCTGTCCTTAGGTGTTTGGGTTGACTCTGGCATGCATTGTATAGCCCCTTTGCATTTTGGCTTGTTGGCCTTAAGGGTGTAATTGTGTGGTATGCATTACTTGCATCATTTTCAGTGGTTTGGGACCACTTGTCATGCTATTTCAGTCCTCATAACATGCTTACATGCTTGCCTTTTGATGTTTCTTTGATGCTTTAAAAGCTTGTGTTGAATGCTCCATGTTTGGTCTCTTTTGCATACTTCCATTTTTAGGATACTTGGATGCCATCTAGGTGTTCCCTTAGCATTTTTTAGGTCTTCCTTGAACATGTTTTAAGTCTTCTTGGCCTTGTGGGGCTTGGTTGGCTTGGCCATGGTTTAAGTCTCCTTGCCTTGCCTCAAGTATTTGGACTAATTGCATGCTTTGTTTGTCTCGTTTGCTTGGTTTAGCACCATCATTAACCTGATTTTCAAAGCTCGTGTGCATGCCATATGTTCATGTTTGCATCCTCCTAAGTGTGCTTGAGAATTGTCTCTTTATGCCTAAGTGTTGGTCCTTGTATACATGCATGTTTGCATGCCATTAGTCCTTCATTTTTTTGGGCACTTTGGCCACTTTTTTTAGGTTAGTTTGAGGGCTGCCTAAATTAGTCTAGGTCCATTCTTGCATGTTGTGACATGCTTACCTTGTGTGTTGATTGCATGCTTGGCCTATCACGTGTTGTGGCATGTCTAAGTGACTTTGCATTTGGCATGCATTTCTCTTAGTTGGAATTAGCTAACATGTTGCATGCTTTGCATACTTGCATGCTTGAGTAACTAGCATAATTGTCACATGCCTTGTATGCTTGTTTGCATTACCATGTTACATGCCTAATTAATATGCTTAGGTTGCATTGCATGCATGCTTTGCCTCTTGATTATCCATGATTGAGGTTGAGCTCCTCACTTGTTTGTTGGTTTGCATTGCATTTCAAATCAACATGCATAAATTGGTCTCTTGGGCCATCACGCATCGAAATGCGCGATTGATGGTCCGAGAACCAAGGACCATGTCCCTTTGAGTCATAAACATGATAAGGGATATGGTTGGTGCATACATTGCTTGAATTGCATTGCCATGCAAAACTCTGTCCTCTGCTGCTGTCAAACAGATTCTGCAAGAACTTTTTGCCGATCGAATGCACAGAGTGCCGACCGGCAATCCATCTGTGGCCGATGGATTTATTTTTGGCCGATCAACACCAAATCACAACCGGTGATGATTCCCTCCAGCCGGTGGCATTCCCCAACATCCAGTGAGCACATCCTGAGACTTTGGCAGTCTTCAAAGAAGTAGAGCAGGGAAAACAGAGGCAGCTTGCGCATGGCAGTGGACTTCCGAGCAAGACCCGAGCACGCGTGCATTGAGCTCTCTTCCCGAGGCCCCTTTTTCTTGCTTTCTTAGATTAATTAATTCGTTTAATTAATTTAGTTGGTCTGTAATAATTAATTAGCTAGGTTAGTTAATTCATTATTTGAGTTGTATTATTCTTTTGGTCCCTCCGAGCGAGGGCGAATTTGTAATAAGTGTAGGTGAGTGTGTGCATGTCTTCCAACCCCCACTTCTTTTTCCCTTTTACTTACCTGCTTTGATGGTTAGTAATAGGACATGTTTAATTTAGCATACCTTATGCTATGCATGCGTGCATCATTCATCAGTATTGCATGCACCGGGCTCGGCGCATCATGCTAACTGCGTTAGCATTTCAAATCTAACTTGAATACATGCTACTTGTGCATTTTCACATGTCATTCATAGAATAGCCGAGCCTACTCTAGTGACATTCCGTATGCGTTGCATTAGACATTTAAACATGGACTTGGATCATGCATTGATTGCTAACGATTTCTTTGTTTTGGCACGGAGTACGATGTAAGTATCTATGCTTTAGCATCCTTGCATGCATGTGAGTGTTGCCATGATAGCATGATTACCATGAGGCTAGCTGCTTATGTGATATAAACTGCTTGATTGTCTGTGGGTGAAGGTTGGATTGTCTGAGTTGGAATAGCTCGTTGAAATCCGTGTTTTAGCCTACTTACGAGTAGCAAATTCCAAAACATTTTTCCAAAACAAACGGATATGCAATAACGTATAAGAAATCATCTTTATTTACCTATGAGAGGATGTGTTTTAATTTAATTATAGCTATTAGAATTGAAGCATTTTCTGTTGAGTTACGGACTTAAAATTTAAATTACCGACCTTTATGGGTTCAAAAATTAAAATTGAGTACTTGGGTATGTTAATGGGAATTTTTAGAACTATTGGGGAAAATTAATTGGAAATCTAATTTGTCTGATTCGTTGATGCACGTTTGGGTGGTTAACTTTGTACTGCAAATTGAAGACCCTAAAGACTTCAGAAACCAGAACAGGGGACATATTTATGATCAGCACAATTTTTAGAGTCACCTGGGAACTTTAATTGAAATTTGATTTTGCGCGATTCGTAAGGCCACGTTTGGCTCTCCCTATTGTGCTAAGCCTTGTGTGTGTGTTTATTTAGATATATGATGAGGAACTCAACATTTTGAGCCCAAAAATATCTAGAGAAAAGGGGGGGAGACACGTAAGAAAGAGAAGGGAGAGAGTTTTTGAGAGAACTCAAAGAGAAGAAGGAAGAAAGAGTAGAAATGGAAGAAGACATCAAAGAACTGGCTTGAATACATCATGGTTATGCAAGAACAAGTGATGATAAGGGCTTAAGGTAAGACTCTCCCTTTCAACACTTGAAGATCACAAGCTAAATAATGAGTTCTTGGGTTATCTATAATTGTATGTAAGGGTTTGGTTTATTCAAGCAAGAAGATGATGAATCTTTATACATAGCATGAATTTATGTTACAACTTAACTTCTTATAAGGATTTTATGGCTCTTAAAGAGGCTAGAGAGGATTCACCATGGGAATCAGTTTTAAACCCCAAATCATGGTTACCTTATGCTTTTGTGTTTTAATTTGTAATCTTGATCTTGTGATTGGGAATTGAGTTGTATTTTGGCGTTATGAATTGGAATGGAAGCTAAGAATGTGAAATTTATCTTATATTAAAGGGTTTTAGGCTTTGATTTACATGTAATTAAGGTTTGATTTTGGAGATGAGAAACCCCTATTTTTCAGCCATTTTCGGACTGCAAACTGTCCAGGCCGCACGTGCGGCACTGTTCACCCGCACGTGAGGAGACAGCTCTGTCCAGCCAACTTTGAACAAGCATATCTTTTGCATCTGGACTCCATTTTGAGTGATTCTTGAGCCTAAAATCTAGCCCCTAAAGTTTAGTTTCTAATGGCGGTGGTCTCATGCCCAAATTATAAATACAGAAATAGTTATGCCCAAATTAGTGACAACTATTCGCTTTCAGTCAACCAGTTTTGTACCATTTCTTCACCTAAACCATTTCCTATCGATTTCTCCTGTTTTCTGAGACATGAATTATAACTTATTAAAGAATAATGAGCTTGGTACCACCATGGCTAATTGATTGAATGATCAAAGAGAATAAGTAAAGGATCAAGTATAATCTCATATAATGTGTTGTGCAATGTACTTGTAGGTCGAGACGAGGACATCATCCCATTACTACCGGGAGCCGATCACTGTGAGTAATAGTGCTACAAATGTACATGGTCTACCATTAAGAAAATTGTTAACAACATTCTGTTCTCCGTGAGCTAATATGTTAACATGTGTGTTGATTGGGAATTGATGTGAACATTGAAAGAGTTAGCACACATCGGTATGACTCTGAACTTACTCCGTATTTTGGGTTATGGCTAATGATTATTGTCAATGTACCATCCTAAGAATTACCTATGATTCTGTATAAGAATTGTATACAAACTATTAACATTGTGAAGTTGGTTAATAGAAAAGAATTACGTATCAACGACATTGTTATGTAATTCATGTTATGATATGAATTGTTCTGGCCTGTTAATGTAATGGTACATTTACCTTCGGATTATTGTTAATGTTAAGGTTTTGTTAATTACGAAACAAGTATGTCTACTTACAAAGAACCATGAGGCAATCTAAGCGCAACATTGTACCATATGTTTTGTTTGCTATTGATAATTAATGTTACCATTCTGTTAACTGCTAGTTAGTGGCATTGAAACATGATGAGCAAATGGGATGTATATGCATTATGGAACTGTGGTATCTACGTAGTTTTGAAAGCGTTCAAGCTGTAAAATATGTTTACCTTTTGCTAACAATTATCGGCAACGTTCTGTTAAACTTATATTATCTATGTTTATTCATGTGATTAATGGAAAGAATGTGTGTACTTTCTGTATGATTCTGAAGTTAATCTGTTCGGACGTTTTCTGGTATGGAACAAAGTGTTGGACAGAACTAAGTGCTACACCTTGGTGGGGGCCACCTCTAGAATCCGTACGAGCCACCTCTTGAGTCCATACATCTGTTATTTCTATTATTTCTATTATTTCTAGGCCGATGGTCGTTCTGTTATTTCTAGGCCGATGGTCGTTCTGATATTTCTGGGCCAATGGCCGTTCTGTTATTTCTGTTATTTTTGGGCTGATGGCTGTTTTGTTATTTCTGTTATTTCTGGCCGATGGTTGTTCTGTTATTTCTGGGCCGATGGCCGTTCTGTTATTTCTGGGCCGATGGCCGTTCCGTTATTTCTGGGCCGATGGTCGTTCTGATATTTATGGGCCAATGGCCATTCTGATATTTATGGGCTCTGATATTTCTGGACCCATGGTTGTTCTGCATCTGTAGGCCTATGGCTGTTCTGTATATGCTGGGCTTAAAGCCACTCTGTTACGGAAACTAGACCCACGACTTCCATTGAAATAATTACAAAATGTAGTTAATCATATGTATCTGCAGTTATATGTTTTATTATTCAGGTTAAACATTACATTATTTATGTACTATTATTCACTAAGTTCGCTCATTCTGTATTTTGTCTGTCTATTTCTGTAGGTAATCAACCGGGAGTTCAGTCCTAACCTTTAAGGCTCGTCTTTCTCTTGTCAACTTTGATGCGTCCAGGCACCACCTGAAGCCGTGCATTTTGTAAAGTGTTGTTAGGTTATTGATTTATGCTTTGGTTGTCTTTCATTAATATTTTCGTTACACGCCCAATTGTGGGTCTAAGTATGAATGTATAAGTGTGTAACCGAAGTTCGGGTGTATGTTTCTATATATTATGTACCTAATGCAATGTGTGCAGTCCTAGCATGGTAGAGGTAGCTCAATGGATGACTCAGTGTCCCTCAAAAGGGAGTAAATAAGGTGCATGCCAAAGATCGGAGCGATAGGAGATGGTTAAGCGGTCCCGAACCGAGGCACACGGCCTGACGGCTCCGAAAACTGGGAACCGGACTCCGAAATGGGAAAAATGGCCTACGGCCACCAAATGTAGCCTATGGACATTGAGAGATGGTCTACGGGACCTCTCCCTTCCCTCAGGAAAAGAAACAAAGAAACCCGAGCCTGGTTCGCAAACCGAGGCAAAGCACAGAAGAGGGTTCGGAAGTCCGGAGGCAGGGCTCACGGCCGCGACTCTGAAACTTCTGAACAAGCACATTATGCAACATCACCAAGCGCTCAATCGGTGACGTCTGAGTCTTAAGGTCGGTCAAAAATGGGGTGTCTACACACATTCACATGAGAGCAAATTGCCACAAGCGAGTGGGCTCAAGAAGACCTACTCAAACCGTCCACGTCATCTTCTCGTCAATGTGATTAAGTACAACAAGCCACCAGTTCATAACCAATGTCATAAATTAATTCCAATCATCCTAATGTGTGAGTTCTCAAAGACAAGTGTAAAGGTTTAGTCCCAACTAGGTAATGACTCATGACTAACTAATGTTCACTAGATCGTAAAAGGATGTCATGGTGCCTAAGTTGCAAATTTAACTAGTAAGTGTTAATCCCCTACACAAAAGTCAATTTTATTTTCCATACACTTTACTGCATCTAGTTGAAATATGACAATACTCCTTTTGCCATCTCCATTTCTCGCTTCATGGTTAGTTGCAATTAATTCAACTATGCACAAGAAAAGGAGAATAAGATACTAACCTATGACTACTCCTAAAGCAACTTTAAGCGTGAATCTGACTAAAAAGTCTAATTCAACACAATGCTCTCACGAGCAATGCGTCAAATTCTTACAATCATAACAACCAACTTGGCATTAACCTTTTTTATTACTATGCTGCAACTTTTGCGCTTAATGATAAACGCTATTCAAAGGCATTAGCCTAGCTAAGAAACCATACAAAGAAGCACATCCTCATGTATCACACTCAAGTATGGAAACAGTAAGTTTCTAGACTTAAACAAGTTGGCAATGCTAATAGATTTTGCAGCCACTAGGCGCTAATCTTCTCACTTAGTGTTAATAGATTTTGCAGCTTCTAAACACTAATCTATTAACTTGAAGTGCTAATCTTCTCACTTAGTGTTAAAGATTTTGCAGGCGCTAATCTCTTAACTTTAAGTGACACTTCAACACACACTCTCATAGTGTCTGAAATTTTGTTCCATTCACTCCCATCAGTTGGGTAGAGAGAAAAACACTGCTCATATTGGCTACTCATCTTACACTTAATGACTAACTCATTTAAGCTCGCATTCTTGGATGACGTGACTCTTGGATGTTGCTTCATCTAATGACGCAACATTATTACAAGTTAAATTACAAAGTCAATCCACACAGCTCAATAGTTAGGATCACATCTAGATTTATTGAGGTCTTACTAATCTCACAACTCCAAACTTGCCAATCAAAACTGCTTAGCATGCCACTAATCATAGTACACACATCAGTTTTTATTGCACCAATCAAGGCAACAAAACCATGATAATGTTGAGTCATGTTTCCTTATTTCGGCTCAACTAAGGTCTGACCTAAAGTCTCCAAGACTTTGTACTCATCTAAAGAATAGGATTACAATGTTCACATTTGAACATCTCTACTAAGTGTAGGTCAACCAAATTAACTTCCATAAGCTAAGTCAATTAGAGGGGAAAAAATGTGCATTGAGATTAATTTGATTAGCATATCACAATATAATTTTACAGCAAAAATTTAAATTAAATAGTTACAATATTACACAAGTCGTAAGATCGAAAATCCGTTATGCTCGTAATCATCTCTTGCACCACAAGTGACAATTACCCAAAATTTAATTTAATTCATGCGCAAATTATTAGTTTTCGGGAGTAAATCTACAAACATTTCTCTCACCCGAATAACCTCCCACTAACTATGGCATGTCTAAAATATGACAAAATATTTAACTCCACATGATAACATCTAAATGTGATTCATAAAAGAAAACATGCTAGAATATTAGTTATGGAATTAAAATTCACCAGTAAATCATACTACTTCAAATAACAACACACTATAAGTTCTAAGCATCTAAAAGAACTTAACATGTTGTGTACAATATTTAAATAATGCCATAACAAATTTCTATAATTTTCACATTTTTTTGAAATTTTCTAGAATTACAAGTAATTAATAATTACACAGAAAAACATAAATAAATATTACAAAATCTAAAAATATATATATATAAATCATACAAATATTAAGCTTACATAACAGTAGTCTACTGTAAACATTTCAAGTCCAGAATCTAAGTCATGCTCCTCCAAGAGCAATTTAATGTAAAAATATTGAATTATTCATTAATGAAAAATATTTTATTTTTTGAACCTTTAACATATTGTAGAAAAATGAATTAGGAGTCCAACGACATAACCCATGCTTCAATCAGAATTATAGCAATTAATATAAAAGCAATTAACATAATTTTAAAATTAAAAACAAACAAACAGGACCTTGAAATAGCTACGATAGCCACTGACTTTCGCGGCTCATGGCAGCTCAGCTTAATGCTTACATCAACAAGCGTTTCATGATGACATCAGCACATGTCATGATGGCGTCAATGCAGATGTAAGAGTCCAATGCTTCAACTCTCACCCAAAACTAGATTTTGAATTTTCTTCTCAACAATAAGTTGAAATTAGACCCATAATATAGCATTTTAAAGGTCTCGAAACAAGCATTCTAAATATATAATTTTCACAACATAAAAACGAATCATGTAAAAATAGTATGTAGTCAAAGTTACGAAAATCAAATATAAATCTCCATTTATCTCAAAATCCGACCATCTAATTTTTTGCAAAACTTTGCAAATATGATCTACATTATATGAACCACAACATATATGAAATTTAGGTCAATCAAAGATATTTTAAAAACTATCAATTTTCTTGCATAAAAAACATGTATACATATTTTAATATTACATACATGGTTTAAATCATATTTCAAGTATAAAAAACACAAAAACACCCAATAATGGCTCCTCAACAATGACTCTGATACCAATGTAAGAAAAATAAGAAATAATACACAATGTAAATAAACGGATTCGGGCATACCATTTACACTTAAACCAAATCCATGGATCATGTGGGTGAATCACGTGCTTCCATTGATGTCTTTGAATAATATTTAGCAATCATATAGAACTAGTAGAGAACTACTCACACTATTCACAGTACAAAGGCTATTATGTGTTTCTATGGAGAGAGACAAAAGAGAAAAATGGGAAAGAAACCAGGAGGAAGAGACTACCAGATTACTCAAACGGTTAAAATCTTACTCTCCCAAATATAATAAGTATATTATGTGGGAGTGTTATAACCACCTACAACTCTATCTCCTTAAGAGATGAGATAGTGGGTTATATGCTTTTATCCTCAGGATAAGTTGATTCAAAATGAATCTCTCCTAACAAGATCTCTCAATAGGTTATAAAGCATGCCATCATGGGCGACCCAATTTCCAACAGAACACACACTTATTTCTTCGTTTCCAAATGGATGATAAAAGAGCCATCGTCGACTGGAACATTACCCATTGTATCCCCCACCATTTCACAACTCTAACACTACTAAATCATTATTTATTTCTTATCATTCCTAGTCTTGTATGTTAAAAAAATTGATCAACATTCTTCCATTATAACATTTTTCGCTATGTCATTAATTAGGTGCTTCACGGGCACAATGAAACGTGATTACACTTATATGTATTGAATAAAAAATACTAGAAGTTCAAAAAATTCTACCAAATATTTGACCAAATATCTTGGTAGAATTTTTGGTATCCCTAACATAACTCGTACTGAATTGGGATTCTCTACTCAAGTTTCATTTTTGTTAACTTAAAAAGCATCCAGTAACTAGTCTAAGGCCTCGTTTGGACAAATGGTAATTTTTTCCCAAAAGTCAAAAAGTCACGAAAAATATCAATAAATAAATAAATAAATACCAAAAAGTTAAAGTTCCTTCCCATTCACTTTACTTTTGCACTTCTTTTCGTAAAAAAATTTAAAAATCATCTCAAATGTATTAATTTTTTGATCTCATATTTTAATTAAAAAATCACTAAAAAAAATTTCTTTCTGCACGACCCCTAAGTAGCCAATGGAAACTTTCGACCACTAAAATGAAAAAATTGAGACATTTAATTATGAAAGCGGACTTCACTACTATGATCAGCATGTGAAAATACTTATTTTTTTAAAAAAAAGGAACTCAGTCCGTAAATCAAAATTTTAATTCTTTGTGTCCAAAAGTCCACACATTGAACAATTATGTCCATTGTTCAAAATGACCAACAATAGAAATCAGAGTTGAGTTGTTTTCCTCTCTCTCTCTCTCTCTCTATCTATCTCTACATACACTGTCACACCCCAAATCCAGGCATGACCGGCCGTGGCCTATAGGGACTTAGCCCAAGGCACATGTAAGCCTAAACACGAACCCAATATCACAAAGAATAAACGTAACGATAGTCTAGAAATAAATAAATCAAAACCCAATCCAATGATATGTCACAAGTATAAATGGTAAAACCAGCCATAACCAACTTCCAAAAATATATACTAAATGGAACACAAACCGCCCACCAAATAAAATAATTCTAAATAAAATCCACAATGTATGCACAAAACTGACATAACAAGCTAAAACAAAATAATGAATGTCCTACAGGTCCATGCAATTGAGTCCTCGCTACACCATGAGTTCACTCTAAGTCCTTCTAACACCTGGAAATGATAAACAACTAAGTCAGCTGATAGCTCAGTGAGTAGAAGCTTGGATAGTAAATACAGTTT